CCCCCCCCTCCTCCCAAGCCAGAGCCTAAAACCATCACCCCAAACCACAATCACCACCCTAAGCCACAACAACCACTTTTTTTTTGCAAGACACAGCTCCAAAACCCTCATCCCAAGCCACAACCCAAAACCATCACCCCAACCCACAAACATCACCCCAAGACAAAACCACCACTTTTTGGCCAGAGCCACAGCTACAAAACCCTCACCCCAAGCCACATTCACCACACTAAGCCATAACTAAAAACCATCACCCCAACCCACAACCACAACAAGCTCAATAACAATATTTTTTTATCTCAATAAAAATATTTCAAAGCACAATAAGCTTCCCCAACATTAGATAATTAAAAAATATATTATCTATTGGGCATGACAACATCAAAAGCATTTTCTGATCTTAAAATTTGCGAAGGGAAAAAAAGGCTTTGAAGTACATCTAAACTTCAATTTTTACACATGCCACATTCGTTATGTATGAAAATGTGTATTTCACTTTTAAAAAGTTTTTAGTATTTTTATTTGATTTGAAAATCTTATGTGGTATAGATGTAAGGAATTTAAGTAGTGGACATGTAAATACAGAGAAATGGGTCGTATGCATTAATATTGAGTATATAAGGTTACAACTTTAGCAATGCCAAGATCAGTAAAAAAAATTGCACAAAAAATGCACTCTACTAGGTTTCGCAAAATAGATCGAGTGCAAAATAAGCTATAATGAAACTTGTCTCATTAATATCAGCAACCAACAATCATATAATAACAAACAACAACAATTGAACCAACAAATACCAGGCATACAACTACTTGAGTTTATATTGGCTCATGAAAGGAAAATATAGCCAGTCTGCAAAATATTTTAAATATGCCAACAACATGCGGGTACAAGCTTTCATCTTGTTAGTTTTAAGAAAAAGTACGATACAAATGGTAACATGCATACGTGAATCGAGTTGCTCCACAGTAACTCAAGCGTAACACTTGTGTGGATTCATACTATCAAAAAGTAAAAAATGATTGAATTAAGTGTCCACCTTTATTTGGATAAATCTGCATTGATTCATTGTTAAAACAAATCCTCATATAACTAACATGCATTTTTTCTCGTTCATGATGAGCTAACTTATAAATATGAGTTAAATTTTGTGAGAAGTAAGTTCAAGAGGGCAAAACATTTTGTGAGCATTCAATTTCAATTTATGCCAAAACAAGCTTCGATATTCAATGTACTCATACCACAATCATTATTTCTTCAAAGGAAGAGCTACTCGAAATCCAAAAATCCTCAAAAAATGAGGGTAAAATTTTTGGGTGGCATCTTATCTACTATTTCATCAAAACCCTCAACAATCAAACATAAGAAAGAAGGAAAAAAAAAAAAAAACAAGAGTCCAGGATGGTCAGAATTTTTAGTGCCTGCAAAGGGATCTTCCAATAGATATTCACAACAATCAGAATCACCAACACCACCAAAACCATCACCACCATCCCCAACCCCTCTGGCCACATGGACATCACCAACATCAGATCTACAACTTCAATTATCATCACCATTTCACAAATTCTCAAAGAAATATCAAAATCTTGTGTAAAAAATTAGAAAAAGTCTAACATAAACATCAAAATCTAAAGCCCACAACAAAGCCATCAAGCGACTGAGGGCAGAAACGAGGAAACAAAACATTTAAAAAAAATAGGTGAAAATCCACCAACAGAAGATAGAGAAAGGAGATACCAAAGGAAGAAGATGACAAGAACAAGAGTTTAGGGCAGAGGAAGCGAGAGCTCAGCGATGAAGGTTAGGGCATACAATGAACGCGAAGAACAAAACCAAATCACGAAGGGCAACAGAGTAAAATTTAAGAGACAAAACATGACCCTCAGAGTCAAACCCGCACCCAATCTTTACTTAAAACGCCCCTTGCCGCAATAACACCGCCACCCTAAACATTGATTTTCAACGGCTTCAAGGCACGTTGAGGCCCGAATGCCGCCCCAAACGGGGCCTCAAACAACAAATCTAAATAAATCACGATTCATATAAGATAAATTTTATTTTACTCAAGGAAACTTACTCTCAATGTACATCTTCCATCATAGATTATTTCAGTAAGGACACAAATTGAACATGAAGAGCAATCCACAAATGGCGAAGAAAAGAAAACAAGGAATACATATAAAAGGATCCTAGAAGCAAGCGTTCATAGTGCTATTGTAAAAAAGCTAAAGAGCAGAGCACCATTAACATTTACAATGAGGCCAACTAGGCTGGCAAGCTCTTAAGAATGAAATCACTGGTGAAGATTTCAGGTAGATCTTAGAGTAGCGCTGCCAGATGTCGTCGATACCTTCGCCCAAGGCAGCGTCACCAGATGCCGTCGATAGTTTCACAGGAGCAGCGCCACCGCCAGTCAACTAGACTTTCGATCCCTCAAAATGAAATCACCAACGGGAGTTTCAGGTAGATCACAGAGCACCGCCGTGCTAACAAACCAATTTCAAGTAGATGGCAAATGGTAGGAGGCTGAGTGCCAGTGCTTGTAAGATAGAATATATTTTTGGTGTGAAATAAGTAATTTTAGTGTTTGGAGTGTGGAATATCTAATTTTTTATGTTTTGAGTGCTATTTAGGTATAAAACCCTAAATTCAAATATATTTCCCCGGATGGACGGCTTGATCAAGGTTCTGTTATTTTATAGCTTTCGACTCTCGGAAACCCAAACCCTAACCAAGCCGCTATCATTCTTCCATTTCCACTTCGCTATCGTCTGAGTCACGGATTGGCCTCTCGCCTTTCTTTTCGAGGGACGGAGGAAGGCCGTTCGTATCCAGTGATTTTCGCATCTTCCCGTTAAACCCTACCAAACAGTCTCAGTATATTGGCCGCCCCCCAGGAGACCTAACCACTCCCTTTTCCTCTCAGCACCAGTCCTCTGATTTCCTCCAAGGTCTCCATAACTCGACGGCTCAACTTCTGCTGAAGAACGTTCTGGATCTCTTTAACGTTCTTGCTTCTCTCTATCGTTGTCTCTCGTAAACCCTAGTCCCCTTTACTTTCTATAAAAATGATATTATTTAAGTACGATATCTGACTGTACATTGGAAGCGCTTTTTAAGCGGGTAAGGGTGTTTACTTCCTCTCAGATGATTTATTTAGTATATTTACAAAATCTCTGCACGTATGAGCATCTATCTCTATCTCTCATGAATGGTTTATGTGCTCTCTGAATTAAATCACTTATCTAATGTGCATATATCTAAATGAAATGACTGTTTTGAGTGATTGTTCATGCACTTTTAATTATTTTTTTCTTAGAATTTTTTTTTATCAAAAAAATTTCAAGAACTCAAGGCGTGTACACTTATACACACTTATGTTTGGGCTTTATAGCTTTTTTAATTTATTGACATGTATGTTGGATCTGTGTATCTGTATCTTTAAATTTTTAGTTATCTTCACGTATGAGAGTTTAAAAAAAGCTCAATCATCCTGTTCTCTGCCTCCTTTTTGGGTTTGGAGACTTACAGGATCTTAATATAAGAATCAAAATAATTTTTATTCCTTATGCACATATAAACATATAAAATTCTCTTCTAAGTATTTCTCTTCTAAGTATTTTTTTTTTTTTGTCATGTAATAGTGAAAGTGTGATGATAGAGAAATTGGACGTGTTTGATCCTAGGGGTGTGCATTCGGTTTATTTGAATAGTTTGAATTATAAAGTTATGAAAACAATTGGTTTTTGACTTAAAAAAAATTGATCCAAACCAACCGAATAGAATGTGCAATCAAACCATACAATAAGTAGTTTGATTCATTTTTCTTTTTTGTTTGATTATGATTAAACCAAAATTAATTGCAATGGATCAAATAGTTTGTAAAGCTTTTTATTATGAAAACAATTTTAAAATTCCAAAATTTAAAAGCATTGATAAAATTGTAAAATTACGCACGTTAAAGATTTCAAGAAGTTAATTGAAGGAATAAACATTGAAATTCCATGGTTCACACCTATAGAATGGTAAAAAATCTATTAATGCTATGGTTAATTTAATTTTGGAAAAAATAAATGATTTCGAAAGAAACTCATGAAAGGAAAATGAGCATATTTATATTACAAAATTTAACCCATCTATTATAAGACATCATAAATGAAATCACCCTCATGTGGCTAAATAATTAAAACTGAAAATCTATATAATTTGACAAAGAAATTTGTTTAAAAGATAACTACAAAACATTCTAATATTTCATGACAGATGACATTTGACTTTATAATAATTCAATAATAGATTAAAAACATTCAAAGATGATGCTGTTATACACCCAAATTCAATAAATTGTAAAGGTCTAAGCATATATGAGTTTTCTTAATTGTAGCAAGCTGGTGAACATAGATTAGAGTATATGATGTACTTTTTAACCAATATTTTATGAATTTTCAACCAATCCAATAACCAAAATCCAAACATTTTGATATTTTAAACTCCAATTTAATTGAAAAAAATCATCCAGAAATATTTTATTCGGTTCAATTTTTCAGTTATAACTGGATAATGCACACTCCTACTTGATCCACTATACAATTTTATTCAAACTTCTTGATAATGGATTTGATTGAAATAGAAAGTTTGTAAGCCTATTATTGTTTATTGAAGTGCAAAAAGATCCTCAAGTTAATGTGAGCTGACAATATGTCATAGAATCCGTAATTTGCTATTATTTTTCTATTGCAAAAGAAATGAGCTTGGCCAACATTTTCTTATAATAATGGTAAATTTATCTTGATATAAATATTTGAAATAATTACAAACTAAATTTCAGAATTGAACCTATTCGGCTAAAATTTTAATAAATATAAAAACTAAGCATGATTTTATTAGCAGGTATTAAGTTAATAAACAAGCATTTGTTAAAACGTAGCTTATTGAAATTTATTGTAACTATTTCTGATGGATCAAATGTATTTTGATAACTTTAAAAAGCAAATGGACCCATCCAAATAATTTATTGCAGAAGAGTAATAGCAATTTACTTGTTTAATGTCACTTTAACAAATATCTAGCTTAATTATCTACAATAAAAGTAAAATTAATAGCAATTATGTTGTTCCATGACATTATTGTAATTCTATCCATCCATTAATGTTAATGTAACTACCTCTCCACTTCTCAACATACAAGCATTCGGGCCATCACTTAATTGTTGGGCCAGTTGGCACCATCTATTTTCTATTATTCATATAAACCATTGACTCGAGTTTTATCACATTTAGAATCACTCTTGACTAACCTTATTTTCTTGAGGTGTATCACTCATCATCACTTTAAAGCTTGCCTGCAAGGCTTTAAGCTTGAGTGATTGTTATTTTTTCTTGCCATCGCTGGTCTCTTTGAGCTAAACCCTGGACTGGATATCTTCCTACTTGTTTAGGGTTTTAATCCTACAACACAATCTGTTGTTTATTTCAGTGGTGCCGCTTGCAGAGTTTGTCATCTGCATGTGATGCAAAGGTCTTTGTTATACGGATGTGATTATGGTGGTTTTGATAAGTTGATGTTTATGTTTGCTTAGCAACCCCTCCTTTACATTCCATTTATTTTTAGATGTTCATCTTTTGTCGACGATTTTTTCGACAAAAGTCTTATGTTGGTTGTCGAATACCTAACTCAACCATCCCTATCAATTATTAGTTCTGAATTTTTAGACGAGGAGTTGAAATATAAAAATATAATGGAACATTGTCATAGAATTAGATTAAAGCATGTAAAAACCCAAAATAAAATTATTTTTATGATTAAATTTTAAGATTTCAAGATTTGAGATGTTAATAAAGAAACCAATTATATTTGGGATAAAGTAATAAGCATTATTAAACAAGCGTCAAAAGATGTACTTTGAGGATCAAAAGGAAAATTTTTTATAAATAAAAATAGTTAGTGGTGAAATAATAATGCATAAAAAATGATAAAATATAAGAAGTTTTGTTATAAAAAATGGTTTAAATGTAAAACCATAGATAACTGAGAAAAATATAAGGTGGTCCGTAAGGAGTCCGAGAGAACAATTTGTGAGGCTAAGAATTCAGCTTTTAGTGATCTTTATAATAGATTTTATACTATAGAGGATGAACAATACATGTATAAACTAGCCAAACTAAGAGAAACTAAAAGTAAATATTTTATTCAAATGTATTGAAGAGGAAATAAAAAAAATATTTTTCTCGGAGGAAGATATTCAACTTAGCTGGGTAAGATATTTTGATAATCTTTTCAAGAAGTTTTGAAACTACAATAACCTTTTTGACTTTAATATTATTAATAATTATAAGATTTTTTATTTCTATCATCACATTAGTAAAAAAACAAGTCGAGGCTTCAATGAAAATCAATAGGACTTGATGATATCTCAATAGAAAGTTGAAAATATTTAGGAGATTAAGAAGTTTCTTGGCATACTCAATATTTTAATATTATTTTAAAAACTAAAAAGATGCCTGAGGAGTGAAGGAAGAGTATTTTGGTCCCCTTTTTAAGTATAAAGATGATGCACAAGAGTGTGAAATGATAGTGGAATTAAGTTAATGTGCCATACATTGTAATTACGGGAGAGAATAATTGAACATAGATTAAGATGTGATACAAAGATTTCTGATAATCAGTTTGGATTTATGCCGGACAAGTCTACTATGGAAGCTATACATTTATTGGAGAAGTACAGTGAGAGTAAGGAGGATCTACATATGATTATTATTGATTTAGGAAAAGTGATGATAGTGTTCTAAAAGAGGTTTTTTGAAGAGTTCTAGAAAAGAAAGGTGTTGATATGGCTTATATTAAAATCATTTAAGATATGTATACTAGAATTGTTACTTGTGTGTTCGAACAGAAGGTCGATTGACCAAGTATTTTCCTATTTCATTTGGATTACATCAGGGATGGACTTTAAGCCCATCTCATTTTGCTTTAGTTTTGGATTCTCTTATTGGACATATACAGGAGGATGTACTTTGGCGTATGTTTTTCGCTAATGATATCCTTCATGTGGATAAGACTAGAGAATGAGATCGGAAAAAAATGAATTATGTAGGTCCACATTAGAGTCTAAAGGCTCTCATTTGAGTAGATCTAAAACTGAATTCTTGTAAATTAATTTTAGCATTGATAGATCTAGTGACAGAGTTGTAACAATGGGTGGTCAAATCATTATAAGGTGTGAACATGTTAGATATCCCTGGTCTATTGTTCAAAGTAATGGCCATATGAGATGGGGAGTTATTAGTAGAATTCAAGTTGAATGGTTGAAGCGGAGGAATGCTTCAGGACCATTGTGTGATAGAAAAGTACCACATAGACTTAAAAGAAAATTTTATAAGATGGTAGCGAGTCTTGCAATGCTTTATGGTGCAAAAAGTCGACCTTTAAAAGAGAAGCATAAATTTAAGTTGTGCTGCAAAGTTGAGGATGGTTTGGTGGATCAATGGCTTGACACTTAGAGACAAAATACGAAACGAATGTATCCGTGAAAGGCTTGGATTAGTTCCAGTGGCAGACAAGATTAGCAAGAGCCGTCTTAGATGGTTTTGTTAGGTTAAAATTTAACTATGTGATGATCTGGTCAGGAGAGTAAATGTTTTAGATCCGATTTATGTTAAGAAAAGTAGTGGTAGACCCAAAAAAAACTTGGGCATGTTGTATAAAAAATGATCTTATTTTATTAATGCTGAATGCAAATATGACGCTTTACAAGACATGATGGAGAAAGAGGATTCATGTAGCTGACCCCACTTTGTGGGATAAAGGCTTGTTTGTTGTTGTTGTCTGTTTTTTATGCTGATGCTTGTTTTAGATGGCATATAATTTGTTACAAGACCGAATTGGCAATGGCTTTGTTTACCACATTAAATTATATGGCTGGTTTCTTTAGGATGTTGAACTAGTTGAAGATGGCATGCATGCTTTTTATGCCTGTATTTGTATAAATTAAATCTATTTTTTTATATTTTTATTCTTCTTCTGTCTTTCATGCTAATTATTTTTTTTTTGTTTACCCCGAAGGATTTAATTTTTTTTGATTCCTTTTCTCCTTGTTTAGATAACTTCTACACGAGCTTGGAACCCAAAATGGGGTTTGATAATGAATGCATATTGAATATACAGTCTTTACCTGGTGAATATTTCTGTCCTGTATGTCGCACTCTAATTTTTCCGAATGAAGCTCTTCAGTCACAGTGCACTCATCTCTATTGCAAGCCCTGCTTGGCCTATGTTGTTGCTACAACGCATGCTTGCCCATATGATGGCTACTTGGTTACTGAAGCGGACTCTAAGGTCTGTTTTAATTGTAATTTTATAGACTTTGGCATTCAGCTTTACTTTATCTAATTGAGCGAGTTTGGGTTCTGTAGCCTCTCTTAGAATCAAACAAGTCACTTGCTGAGACGATAGGCAAAGTTCAAGTTTATTGTCTCTATCATAGAAGTGGGTGCCAGTGGCAGGGGACACTGTCTGATTGCATTAATCACTGTGCTGGATGTAGTTATGGAAATTCTCCTGTTGTCTGCAATAGATGTGGAACTCAAATTGTACATCGTCAAGTTCAAGAGCATGCTCAAACATGCCCGGTAAGTGAATTATGTAAATTTTCTGCTGAAGTAGCCTTGATTGCTTTTCATTTGCGCTTCCCTTGTATTTCTGATAAATGGTACTGCTTTTCTTCAGGGCTTGCAGCCTCAAGGGCAACAAGTAGAGAATGCTCAGGCTCATGCCTTGCCTGCATCAAACCAAGATGTCACACAGGATTCCTCTGCTGCCGCTTCGGCTGTGACAGCAACATCTTCTACAGCTGCTGTGACAACAGTCCCATCTACTTCAGCTGCTGGGACAACATTATCAATGTCAGCTGCCCCTGCTGTTGCTACAGCTGCCAATGTTCAGGCTCAAAACCAAGCATTAACTGTTGCTTACCCGCAAGCTGGCATGCAAGCTCCTACAGCAGAGCAGTGGTATCGCCAACAACAGCTTCAATATCAACAATATTATCAGCAATATCCTGGATATGACCCATATCAGCAGCAATACCAACAGTATGGCCAGTATCAGCAGTACCTACAAACTCATATGCAGGTTGCTCCACAACAGGTAATTCAAGGTCAGCCACTGGCTCAGCCATATGTGCAGTCCCAATCACATGTTCAGCCTCTTCCACAGCCGCATACTCTACCTCAAGCACAATCCCAGGCCCAAGTTACCCAGCTTCATCCCCAGCAACAACAGGTTCCCCAGCCCCAGCCCCAGCCCCA